GCTGTCAGCCCTGGGACTGTTGAGTCGCCTGAAGAAGCAGATTTTCCTCCATTGTCTGTTTTGTAGGCTGATGAATAACAATTTCATCCTCTCCATTTTGCTGTAACTCTTTCACTCTGACACTTCTGATTGCTGAGAGGTTTTCTGGAAATTTCTTAAGTCACACATTAGAGTAAATTCAAGGAGATAATGTGATTCCAGTTGAATCATCCGTGTCTCTGCTGTCAGATGTAGTAGTTTAGGAATTGGTTGAGTTACACAACTTCCCAGATTTCATATTACATATGTGCCATTTTGTGTCTTGCCCTCAACTCTTAATAAATGGGCTAAAAAGGTCTGATTGGAAACTGTGAGATGAATTATATGTTTATTATGCCAAGTTAGGTAAACACTGTTTGAAAGGGTCACTAGAGGGTACAATCAAGTTAATTGCTTTAAAAATCTTTTTTTGATGTGTTGGCCTCTATGAAAATGGTTAAGCAATCGATTCTGTCATGGTAAGTAACCTGAAGAAAGTGGTGATGGGTCCACAGGGGTTGCCGTGCGTGTTCCCTCCCTCATGCCGGGAACTGCCCCACGAATGAACAGAGAGGCCCCCTGAGGCCACAATGCAAGTGCTGTTGTTCCTCCAGAGAAGACACACGTTAGCACTTTGACGTTAAGGCTGACGGGTTGATTTCTTTTTATTCTAGATGCTGAAGAATACCAGCCTCCAATATGGAAATCGTACCGTAAGTATCTGAAACTTGAATCCCCTCAGAAGTCTTCAGCAGGCCTGCCGTTTGAACGATTATTGCCATTGATTTAATTTGATTTAATGCACACAAGCAGGCCTACCTCACTGCACTGAGAATGCAAATCTTTGCTTTTCCACTTAGAAGAGATCTTGGTCAGAGAGGGCTGGCAAAGCCCCCTCCTCCAGCCAGGACCAAGAGCGGGCTGCCTGTGCCCCACTTCAGGAATGCTTAGAGAAAGAGATGCCTTTTGATTTATGCTTCAAAAGAGATGCTTCCTTTCCTTCCTTCCTTCCTTCCTTCCTTCCTTCCTTCCTGCCTGCCTTCTTTCCTTCCTTCCTTCCGCCTTCCTTCCTTCCTTCCGCCTTCCTTCCTTCCTTCTTTCCTTCTTTCCTTCCTTCCTTCCTTCCTTCCTTCCTTCCTTCCTTCCTTCCTTATTTTTTTGCACAGTGGGTCAGCCTCTGTGAATGTGTTGACCTCCGTGAATTATGTGTTTGTCCAGCCACCCTAAGGCTGTGATATCATATGACATTTAACACAAGAATATTCATGAACAGATAGCAAAGAATAATGAATAATGCTGGGCCACTAAAGGTGACTCCTTAGAAACAGACACCATTATCTGATCATCAGTCACCATTCAGCTCCCCTCATGAAGGCAGGCAGCTATCAACTCAAGCTCATTTTCTCATTCCTTAATCCTCTACCTGACTTAAGTGCTTCTCCAGTACGAGAGGGAAGGAGTATGGCAGAACGAGACTCACTGTGCTGACAGCCAGGGGACTCAGGCTCTTGTTCAGGCTCTGCTTCTAGACAGAAATAATACAAATAATTATTACTATTGTTATTGATGTTCCGTTGTTTCTGCTGCCCGTGGAGACCTGCCGTGGNTTTTTTTCTTGATTTCAATATATGCAAATGAGGATGGCCCACTTGGCAAGGATGACTGATGTGTCAGGAGGCCCGGAAGGCAGAGCCCTCCATTCTAATCCCACTTCTGCCTCTCACTTGTGTTATGACCTTGAGAAAGCCACTTAATCATCTGCGTTTCATCTTCCTCATTTGCCAAATGAGGAAAATAAGCTAAATGACCTCAGACATCTATTCCAGGGTTAAAAAAGCTTCAAGCTAGGTTTTTGAAAAATATTGTGTGAAATCGGGGCAAATGTGCATGTGGGCGGGGCGGTGTCGGAGGCACCTAAAGACCTGTTGCAGCATATTAAAAATATTTCGTGCCTTGTCACTTGACCAGGGCCTCCTAACAGTGCACTTTAGTGGTTTGTGAAACGTGACCAAGGTAATTATAGTTTTCCACTGAAGCATGACAAATGGCCTCTCACTTTGAATTCTTTTATGAGAAAGAAAAACCTACCATGACAACAGCACTGGGACTTAATTACAGGCTCCCGATCTGGAGGCAAGAATAGAGATCGTCACTGACTGCCGTCAAGGAAGAGGAGATGAGCACGAGCTCAGGTGGGAGGAGGGAGGACAGGGTGAGGCGACAGGGACGCCACAGTGACAGCATTCGTGGGGCGTCACTGAGAACTTGCTATTTGTCGGGTGCTGTCCCAGGAACTTTATATACATTATCTTATTTAATTCCCACAATATCCCTGAGAGTTAGCTTCTGAGGTAGGTACTTTAACTTTTTCTGTTTTGTAGAGGTGAGTATTGGGAGGCTTTTAAACGAAGCTGAATAACCGGCGTCAAGTTATTCAGTCAGTAGTTGTCAGAGGCAAGATTTGGACCCTAAAAGTTTATTCATTTGTTTAATACATACTTTTTGAATGTTTGGTATATGCCAGGTACCCTTCTGAGGGCCGATGCACAAGTGAACAAGGCAAAATTGCTGCTTATATGGAGTCTGGCTAATAGTGAGATGAGACCGGTCATAACAAGTCAACATACCCAATAAATAATTTCAGATGGTACTAAGTGCTGTGANAACAAAGTCATGATGTGTGGAATTAAAGATATACAGAGGGTGCCAGAAACATGTATACATATTTTAAGAAAGGAAAAACTGTATTAAAATTGTAATACTCAATATATACCGATAACAAAAAATGAATGCAAGTCACGTTTGACTTCTGCAATTACAAAAGGTGCTCAGAGTGGTCCCCATCAGCGTCCAGACACCTCCGCTTACAGTGAACCACTGCTTGAGCAACGCTGACCAAAGTGTCCACTTGTATACTTCTTTTTGGCATCCCCGGTATTTAAGATTTTTACTTCTGTGTGTGTGTAAAAAAGAGATAGAAAGAGAAGGATAGGGAGAGGGAGAGGGAAGGAGGAAAGGAGAGAGAGGGGGAGGAGGAGGGAGAGGGGGAGAAAACACTTCTTTTTGCCTCAGAATCCTTGGAACCGTGTCAGTTGTCCTGTAAGCCAGGTGGAATATTAGCAGTGGAAATGGGCAGATTCAGATCAGCTTCACTGAAGCCTTTCCTAGGGTCCAGCTGACACTCCGCAGACACCCAGTGGGCCGAGGGTCCACCGCATCCCTCGTTATTGCTGTGCTGGGAGGAGATGCCACAGATGCCTTTGCAAAGCAGAGCTGTGTGCCACGGCCATCGCCATCTGCTACAACCGAAGGACATGGACCACGTGCCGCTTTTCCATTCTCTTGTCTGCCTCATAAACCGAGCTTCTTGCCTTTTGACCTTTGTCACTGGGATGCCTTAATAAGTTACGCCTGGGTGATGCCGGAGTCGTAGGTAGCTTGCCACTAGAAATTCCATGTCCTGTTTCTGCCATGAAACCTACCCTGCAATGGATATGCATCAGCTCCGTTTCCTCAGCGGGCAGCATGGGGCCCGTCCAGCCAGGCAGGTGTCAGGCGACAAGGGGGCGAGTGTGCTGGAAGAACAGGTGCTGCTTAGATGAATGCCAGCAGGAGTGACTTCAGGTCCCTTTGTCCACCCCCGTGGCCTTCACTGCACATAATTCCTGCCCAAATTGCTCAGCCTCCCAGGACTTGGCCGCCTCCTAGTGAAGGCACAGCCTTCACTTGGACTGGGGGAAAATACTGTTCCTGCTGCACATGGTGTTTGGGAAAACGCCCTCTGCCTTGTCACACACCTGTGTGCTCAGGGGACTTGTGTAATGAAGACAGAAACCTTTCAGTCTGAGGGTTTGGCCAGAGAGATTGAAGCTTTATTAACACATCTACATAAAGCCATCAAGGCTATTTCTTTAGAGCGGTGAGTTGTGATTTTTTTTTTCTGTGTCTTTGCCATCTCACCTCTTAGCGAGCTGTTAAGAGTTCGTCCACATTTTCCTTTTATACACAGTCCCGCTGGCCCTCTCTTAGTCTTCACCTCCACTCTGCTGAGCCACGTCGTCCCTGGCAAGCCTGCCCAGCTGTGTTGCTCCAACATACGTGATTTCTTTTGTTTGTCTGATGTCTAAAACCCCCCAGGCTATTGGTTCCTCCCCCCTGATGGAAATAACACTCAACATTGAAGACCCAAGGAATTCTCAGTTACAGAGATACGGAATACTTTCACTCAAGGGACAGACACGGGCCAACCTTACTGGAAGGCTTGGTGGCTATCAACAGCCACCTGCCATTTAATGGGCTTTGCTGGGGGAACTGGGTGAGTCAAAGGTACCCACTGATTCCACAGGCAGAATCCAATGGGCTTGGCAAAGCCAGGTGAGGAGCCCGGCTGACGTCCGTAGAACTTGTTTTGCATTTGTGCTCTAATTGCTTTCTAGCTCCCTGACTTAGAGCCAGGCACTTACTCAGGGGGATTAAGGTCTGCCCCGAAGACAGACATCTACCTTGCAGGGTGCTATACATAGAACATAGGCCTCGAGTGTCTCGAATGGTGCCTGGCACCTAACAGGTACTCAGTGTGCATGATTCGTGGCAGATTGAAACACCTGTGAGGAACAGGCTCTGAGACACCNTTATCCGTATTATTGTGATTCTGAAACAGACCAGATCATGTCACCTCCCTGCTCAAAACATGTCACCACCTCCCTACTGCAGACAGAAGAACATCCAGGCACCTTAGCCTGACCTTCAAGGTTTAGTTCCATGTGGCGCCTCCCACATCCGCCCGTCCTGTGCAGTAGACATACTGGACTCTCACTGACCAACACTCACTCCCTTTCCCTTTTAAGACTCTTTCCTCCATCTGCAACCGCTTCTCTCTTCTCTGCCTGCAGAATCCCCTCTAATCCTCCAAGGAGAGCTCCGTGCCTCTCCCCTCTGGAAGCCATCCTGACCTCTTGAGTAAAAAGAACTGCTTCCTTTTCTCCCCCTCATTAAATAAAGTGTTCCCCCCCCCGGTTTTATTTTCCCTACAAACACCTTCCTCACTGGATCAGAGACCCCTTGAAGTCATAGATTGTGACCCATGAGTCGTTGGCTATAGCCCATTCCTTCTGCAAATAATGCTTTAAGCATCTACTATGTGCCAAGTATTGTTCTAGGTGCTGAGGGTACCAGAGTGGCCAGAGCACAGTTCCTGCCCTCAAAGAGCTTACACTATAGTCAAGAGAGGCAGTACATAAAATAAAGTGTGATAATGGTGATGAGTACTGTGAATAAACATAAAATACACAAGGGAGCAGAGTGATGGAATGGAATTTTATCCCAAGTCAGGGAAGACCTGAAGGAAGGGAGAGAGGGAGCCATACAGGATATCTTGAGAAAGAGCAATCCAGGTGGTGAAAATAGCAAGTGCAAAGGCCCTGAGGCACAAGAAAAAAAATAATAAACCAGGGCTTTGGAATCAAAAGGACACATCTTCACTGGATGCCCTGGGGCAAACATTTAATTTCTCTGCACCTAAAAAATGAGAACGATAACAAATACAGCATTCTCTTTCCTGAGTTCTCTGAAAGATTCAATAAAATATTGTTCCTGGTACATGACAGGCCCTCAGTATGCTGGTTTCCATCTCTTCTCCCTTCCTCTCCATTCATCCTCAAAGACTCCATATAATGCTAACCGTGGTATCTGGCCTATAGCAGACGTTCACATATTTTCTGATATGAATTGCAAAGCCGTGCTTAGCTAAAAATACGTCTCTCTTATAAGCAGATGTACTTCCTTTGTCACCTCCCAGGGAGGTATTAAGTCTGGCATTCACAAAGCCATTCCAGCCACATATAACTGTTGACTTCAAGAGGCATTGACAGCGGGAGGAGAAGAGGGGACAGGATTCTCTGGATGTGGGTTCTGTAATTCCCGTTAGCTCTAAAACTCTGAGATTCCAGGAACTGGCCCCTTGGTTCCTATTACACTCTTGAACAGCAACACCCCACTGAAAAGCAGTTAGCAAGTGTCGGGGCTGATTCAAGAGGCACAAAGGAGCCTCTCTCATGATTTAAGGAGAGCATGGGCTCTACTGGGATAGTCAGTGGAATGGCCACAATTATTTCTCTATCTTTGGCTGAGTCTTTCTCATGTTTCCTCTTTGACAAAAAGTCTTCTCTGACTTTGTCTCCCATAAATGGGTATAGTTAAGGGACACCAGCAGCATCATTAGAATGGGCAACCTAAGCTCAGAAATGTGGCACATTAAAACATCTATAAGAGGGTTAGATAGGTTCTTCCCTGTGCTAAAGCTGGGTAGTCTGCACTTAATTAGGTATGAAAATAACCATGTTGAGCTGAAGGCATTGGGGAGCCGTAATTATAAAATATATCCCATCATTTCCATCACTGTTTCCACAGGTCATCTGCCCTTCCATTAAAATTTCTTTTTTTATTTTTAGGCCTAAGAATAAGTCAGAAATTTCTTTTTATTACATATTTTAGACTTGATATGATCAAGTTTTTAACTTTCCGCAGGTGTATTCCACCAAAAATTAATTCTTCCCTCTCAAGATTCTAAAGATAACATCAGCTAGGTTTGTTTTTAACTTGTGTTTTCATGGGAGTAGAACCCACAGGTCTGCACAGGGTTTCTTTCCTCTAAGAGAAACAGCCAGACTAGAGAGCAGTAGAAAATCATTTGTGGTAGTCTGAAAAAAACCATAATGAGTCTGCTAAATTGTATTTTTCTATATAATTACCTGCTTTCCTCCATTGCTCAAGCCTGAAAATCTGTCTTTAAAGCAGGATATAAGAGAGTTATTATTTAAGATATGAAAGGGCCCCCAAAAAAGGAATGACAATGGATGGGAAATAGTCAAACAGATGAGAATCCGTGCAGATAGGCAGGGCAGAAACGGAACTCCTGAAAAGAGCAATGACTTGGGATTCCATTCACTCACAGAATCAGTTGTGTCTGCATACATAACTGTAACATTTCAGAGAATGACACTCCTTTTCTAATGCCAGTCTCTCTCTGGTATGTCAGGAGCCACCGGCATTTAAATTCAGGAACCCTATTATTATAAGATCGCTACTTAGGTGCTCACAAGTAGAATTTCATCTTTCAAATGGTCGGAAGGCTTCTAGTCGTTATCTAGTCTTCCAAGAAAGCCATAAAATGAACAATGCCAGTAACAATTATGAAACTAAATCGGCTTTATAAGAATAAGAAAAATCAATTTCGCCAGTTTACATTCGCAGTGACTAATTTCCATATAAATGATCTGCTTTATTCAGTCTAAAAATGGGCCTGTATCCTCTTTGTTTTCTGTGTGAAATATTTGCCATTTTTGAGATGTACTTATTTGAAGGCATGTTGGTATGTGTTGCCATTTTCTAATTCTAATTATCCTTTTGTTTTGTTTTTTTTGGCAGTGTATCAGTTACAGCAAGAGGCCCCTCGTCCCAAGAGGATCATTTGTCCCAGGGAGGTCAGTACTCAGCCATCTCCAGCACACCTTGTTAAATATGATGAATTGTCTGCACTGGGTTGACATTGGAGGGCATTCAGGTTTTCTGGGAGTCGATTTCTATTAACGTTTGTTAGTGTGTCACCAAATTTAACATCTTAATCTATATTTTGAGACAGGTGTTATTTTAAAGACACGAACAAACTACCTTGGAATCAAATGTCTGGTGTTTGTAACCATTGCAGAGGCAAAGTAAACAACTTTTGTAACCCCCCCCACACACACACACCAACATGTATTTTGGTAGTTTTCCTTATTCCTGCTGTTGTGATTCTTTTATCATTCTTTATTATGGCACGCTTCCAACAGAGAATAATAAATAGCTNAAAGAACCAGTATGTCACGTGACATCCCTTAAGTGTCTGCCTTCTCTGCTCCCCTCCCTTTCTTAGAAGCTAATGCTGTCACTTATTGGGCTGTTTCCATAAGAATAATCTTGTCCTCAAGAGTCACATATCTGCAGCAAGTCCTTAGCACTCAAGATCACACCCCAAAACATTAATGAAGTCACTAAGAAAGCTTGGCTTCAGTTCTCTAAAAGAAAAGTTACTTTCAAGTTTGCTTTAAAAAATATAGCTGCATTTTAAACTTTCAGCCACAACTGTATGAACTGTATGCCTTAATCAGACAAGTTCAGAAGCCAATCACCTGGGTATACTTTGAAAGATTTTATTTTTTAAGAGGCCAAGTGCCAATGAAGCAGCAGATGCTGCAGCTGACAGCTCTCCCAGGACTGTCTCCTGGGCAGCAGGTCGAGCAGCCTTAGCTCGTGCCTGTTTTTCTAAAGAGGAGCTTGGAACCTCCAAACCCTGGTTCATGGACCCCCCTCATCATAATCACCTGTGGGGAAGATTTATAATAACCATTCGTCAGCCCTACCCCATATTTCTGAATCAGGATAGTGGGGGTGCTGCAGTTGATCACACCCCACACGTATTTCTTGTGCACGCTTAACGTCTGAGACGCCCTGGTTCTCCACAGCTGCCGCCTCAGGATTCTTATGGTGCCATTAGACTGGCCATTCTGTGAGTAGGGCCAGGCCTTCACACAGCAGGCTGGAGGTGGGGTGGAGCCCAGAAAACATCGGAAGCGCATTCCTGTTCCTCACTCACCCTCAGGAGCGTGTTTCCATGAACACTGGAAAGACGTGGGCAGTGAGCAGGGTGGTCCGGCTCCTGGGTCTGCGTGCTCGCTTCAGACACAAGTGGCTGTTAGAAGACATCGCTGCCGGGTCTCTGAGGAGGAGATGGGCCTGGACTGGGCTTCAGGATCACCCAGGCCGTGGGCTTCCACTCAGCATCCATAGGGACTGAGCTGCTTTCTGTTACCAGAGGAGGTTGAGTCGAGTGTTCTTACTGAAGAAAAAGGAAAACGTTCTGTCAGTGAGCTCTGGATTTCTGAACCTGCTTCATGCTTCTTGGGGTGCAGGGAATCCCCTTCTTCACCTCCGTGTTCCGCATGGACCGTCCCCACTCTAGCCCCACTAAACAGTTATTCCAGTGCTATGAATTCTCTCATATGCTGTGGAGGGCCCAGAACTGGGGGCAGGGGGGGACTCACGCATATTTGAAACATTGCTGTAGAAACAGATTCCATCATATCTAGCCTCTCAGCTCACAGAATCACCAGAGAAGTGATATACGTTGTCGCACTTTGCCAGTGAAATGTGTTGGTAGAACAAAGAAAATTCAAGAAACTGTACTTAAGATTATGTGATATGTTTGTTATATTAAATGTGCCTCTGAGACTGTTTTCATGGATGTTTCTCTTGTTATTGATAACCGTGAAAGCGAGGGACTCGGGCCCTCACATGAAGCTAAGATAGGGTTTGGGGCCCCATTTTTGTTTTTTTTTTTTCATGGCTACCGTCACCATGGGTTGCCATTGCATTATCTTTATAGAGACACACCATCCAGATGACAGTCTTCTTGCCTACTTGTCAATTTCAGTTGCTTGGAGCAACACCGAGCAGATCTTGTGGATCCTGAGACCTGCTCACTGGGAAATGGTGATTGATTAGTGACGTGTGCTGCCCAGGGACCCAAAAGAAGAGGTGGCATCCCTGGCTTGAGGGGTTTGCAGGGACCACCTCCCCTCAAAATCGCCGCTAGCTCAAACTGTTCTTATTTGTGAGACTGGTAAACGACAGCATTTCCCTTTATTAAACCTCAGAGGGTCCATAAAAGGCAAAACTATGGGCTTGCTTTAGCCTATGGATGCAGGAGAGGAACTGTCCATGTGCCCCTTCACCCGTATCCTCTGTGATTGGCAATGGTGTCTCAGTCTCAGCCATTCAAGGTCCTTCCCTCCATTCAGTCTGTCATCAAGCCCTGTCAATCCTCCTATGCAATCAGCTCACCTTCCACCTGCATTTCCACTAGGGTTATCTTAACTCACAATTTCACCGTCTCCTGTATGTCCACCTAAAACACTTTNCACACACACACACATACACATGCATGCTCGTATACCTATATATGTATATATTTGTTACAAAAGTAACACAAAGCTACGTAACAGACAAATATTACAGAAATACAGAAAGCTGGGAGTCAGAATTTCCCATATTCCACTAAGCAGCCCACGCCCACATTCCACTTCTCTTTCCCAGTAGCTGACCCCTGACAATTTTGGGAGGATATTCTTCCTGGTGTTTTAAATATGCATGCTTTTTTATGAAGGCATTTTCATTATTGTCGTTTCCCTTTGTGAAAGGGGCTCATGCTGTACTTGGCGCCCTTCACTTGCTTGCTGCACTTCACAAATATCTTGTCTTGATCTTTGCATGTCAGCATATCTAGAGGTATCTCGCTCTTTATTACATGAGTCTGCTCTCCCATCTGTGAAATAAAAGGGTTGTGCTGGGTCTCTAAGGGCCCCTCCAACCCACTGCTCTGCATTCCCAGCTTCTATTTTAAAAGCCAGGGCTAATGACTTAGTAATTGGATGTTTTTGTTTGTTTGTTTCCTAATGGAGTGTGAAGTGCTCTGACAGTAAATCAACAAAATATCTGCGGTGAGAGGTATTGGGTGTGCTGTGACTTACTGTGCCTCATTCATAGCCTTGCATACATTAACTACCCAATAAATATTTGTTGAATGAATGCCACCGCAGAGAGCTTTACTGAAGCGAAAAGATGGCATTGGCTCAATTTCATTTCAACGTTTGCTAAGAAACCTTGGGCCACCCAATATATCTCTTAAAAGCACTTCTGTGTCCCAAGCAAGCTAGAAGAGGCCTTAATCATTACATTTTCACGATATCAATTTTACCTTAGCGTATTGGTTTTAAGTTTAATTTTTAGACCTAAACAAGTTGTGTGTGTTTTTTAAAAAAATTTGTTCTAGAATCATAAAACTTGAGATGCAAAAGGGATGGTTGAGGCCATTTAATATAAGCCTAATGACATATATGAAGTTTCTCTTTATTACACCCAACTAATAGTCATCCAGGCTCTAGTGATGTGGAATTCCAAAACTGAGGGTAGCGTGCTATCAGTGGTGCCATCCATGACATCAAAAACACATGGACCAGAGGCCTACGGAGCACCACTGAGAAAGAACTCTTTTTGCTTGTTCTGGATCCATGAGTTGTTTGAGTTTGGCTGCTGGACCACTTATAAACTCAGCCAACAGTATTATTCCCAAGCTCATGCTACTCCGTCTTATTCCCAAGATTATCACCCACTCATTTGGTCTTTTGGCAAATATACAATGAACACCTTCTGAATGTTAGAGGATACGTATTGGGAATCAACATAGAATAAAATGTGGTCCATAATTTCCTCCAATTTACAGTCTAGAAAGGGAGATAGAGCTGAACCAATGAACTTAAAATGTAAATGGATATTAGTAATAATATGCTACTCCTCTACCTCCTAGGATTATAGAAGACTATAGAAGAGGTTAAATTTGCATAAATATAAGGAATCTGAGGGCCTTGGAGAACTTCATGAGATACTTTTTTTATCTCTAAATATGCTAAAACTAGAGCATTTCCCTGATCTAAAAGTTCAACAAACCTATCAGAATATGAAATTTGTTTTGTTTTAACCTGTTGGAAAACCCATTCTGAACCTTGGAATCACCAAG